ATCAGCAATCACCAGATTGCTATATAAATCATTACTTTCCCAAACAATAGCTTCAGTTTGCTTGTACCAAATACTCAAAATATGACTTCCTTAATGAAAAGAAAAAAAATCTAGTCCTAAAGTTTTTCTAAAAAAAACCCACTGTCTCACTGACTTTTCCAAAATGATCACTTGAATCACAAGGCAAGAGATGGCCAGTGAACTGGGCGCCAGGTACTGGCTCCACCTGACCAGGAATTCATTCCCTTTCTCAGTCTCCTTACTTATGTCAAATGTTCAGCAACTCTGTACCCCATAAAGGACCACATCTATTATTTTCCCATTTACCTACCCATCATAGTACATTTATTAAATAAAAATGTTTCTCCATTTTTCATGAATCAAAGACTTCTATGATTGGCAACCAGAGCTACTAAACAGCGTGAGTAGGTGGCCATAGCACGTCACTCATGTGCCATACAGTAGGCACAGACCCCTGTGCACTATTTGGCTTGAGTATCGTTACCATCCAAGGGTAAATGCAGTTCCCATTGTTATTGTTGTTGAAAAGGTATTAACGATAACGCCCCCACTACCACCCTGCAGGTTCTATAGTTTCAGGACTCCTAGACCCTTCTTAAGGACCCTTCAGAACACAGGAGACCAGGGCATGCCTTTCTGGGTTTTCCCTGAACCAACCTTTGTCTGCTCTGGACCTGGTTTTCCAAATGTAAAATTAAAACACAGACTGGGGAATTTCCTAGAGTTCTCTCAGGTCTGTGACTCTGACTTGGTGGATATAGCTGCCTGTAGATGGCAGAACAGTGACACACTCTCACTACAACTGCAGGTGCTGTCCCAAGGCCACTCCACAAATGTGGCATGGCAGCATTGGGTGTGATGCTATGGCCAGCCCACCTCTCTGAATATGGTGCCTGTTTCCCAAGGGGAAGGAGTCTGGGGGCCATCCACTCAATGCTGTCACAGGAGCTACAGAGTATCAAAGGACAGCATTCTGATCTTGAACCTTTCCCAGACCTCCAAAAGTCCAACAATTGTTCAGCCAGGCCCCAGAAAGCAAACTGCCTCTCCCTTCTCCCACCTGGGTCTCTATTGATTCGGTCTCAGGACAATGTGTCACTAAACAGGGCTGAAAGAGAAGACTGTAGTTAACTTTCTAGAAACTAAAATATGTTACGGAGAAGATCTCAGAGGCCATCTAGTCTAAACCTCCCATTATACACATGAGAAAAGTGACAGAGGCAGAGCAGAGCTGGGACCAGGCCTCCTGACTTTCTTCCCACCTCACTGGAATCTTCTCAGTTTGTTCCACCTAACAAATGAAAGCTTGCTTTTCAAAAATACCACCCACTCAGAGTCAAGGCCAAACTGACTGCTTTTCCTGCTCATTAGATCAGGTAAAGGTTTCTTTAAACAACTTGCCCATTATGATATACTAAACTCTTCAAATGCCTTTTGTATCCTTCACTTACTGGCTCCATTTCCCCAGCATAGCTATCTTTGAAGAGCAGCATTTATGTGATAATGTAAAAAATGTATTGCATTCTGCCCTTTTTGTTTTATAAAAATTGGTGGAAAATGGTAACACTAAAGTTCTGATGCTGACAACATTGGTGTCATAATTCGATACAACTAAAATAAGCCTCAGTGGGACCATTAGGAGGCTTAACTCATGTTCAACTGTAAAGAAAAACAACAAAAATTGTAAAAACAGAATGAAATATTGGCATCTGATACTGAAAACTGCTACAAGGAGAGGTAACCCTGCCATTTTACAATTGCTTTAGCTCTCCAAGATTAGCACTTACCTTGTTACAATACTGCTTGGTATATGCACATCTGAATTGAATGCTTTTTTTAAAAAAAAAAGGAATATACACTATCTGGGGACTCCCTTTAGACCAAAAAGGGCTAGTTTGAGGTAATCTGGAAAAACTTAATATACTTAGTACAAACTACCACTGAAGGACCAGTTGTAGGGTTTTCCTAAAGGCAGTGATCCAGCTGATTCAACAAAGTGCTGTAACTTCTAGGAAGGATTAAAGAGCTTTAGGATTGCCCTGGCCAGGTGGCTCAGTTGGTTGGAGCATCTTCCAGTACACCAAAAGGTTGGGGGTTCAATTCCGGGTCAGGGCACATACCTAGGTTTCAGGTTTGATCCCCTGTCTGGTGTGTATAAGAGGCAACCGATCCATGCTTCTCTCTCACATGGGTGTTTCTCTCCCTCTCTCTCTCAAATCAATAAAAACATATCGTCAAGTGAAAATTTAAAAAAAAGAGATCTTTAGGATCTTTCCCCTGTAATAATTCAGTCAGTTCAAGATATCCAAAGTGTCAAATGCTTCTGAACTGCTGACAGATCTAGCTCAGGGACTGGGGCCTTATCCACCCAAAGGAAACAGGATGTCCTTATCCACCCAAAAGCAAGCATCCTCCTCCCAACCTATTTCCTCCCTGGTAAACAAAGGTCAAAACACCTCCCAGCCCGCCTCAAAGGCAACGAACACAGTGGGGTAAGCCCTCACTAAGCTTCCCCTCTACAACCAGCCATTTCAGGATCCCAGATATAGCAGTGGGGGAGGGGAGCAAGTGAGATTTCCAACATCTCCCCCCAAGAGTCGCAGAGGCTAACCGACAGACCCAGTTTCTTTTCCTCTGCCTGGAGTTGCACCAACTCAACGCGAAACCAGTGGTCCCTCGGGCAGCGAGGTGGGTCCCCGACTACCACGAAAAGGGGAGGTAAGTAAACCTAGAATCTCATAAGTATGAGGGGCGGGGCCCCCTACGCCCC